GTGGTGCACCCTGGGCAACGTATACTCATACGGTAAAAGTATATAAACTAGTAGTTGACTTCTGACCTCAAAGTACAATTACCCCACTGAATGTCATATTCAACCACACCCACCGTACTAATCTTACCTTTTTCTCTGCCTTTGCAAACGGATTAACGCGTCAAATATGAATGCGAATATATATTTGAAATTAATTTTGAGGGCACGGAATCCTCGAATACTAATTAGGCGGAAAGACCTCTGTGTCTTTTATTTATCGCCTGGGGCAGGTATTAAGGTTTCATTTATACTTGGTCAAGTTACCCTGGGGATAACAGTGTTAAAATCAATAAGAGATAATATGGAATTAAAGGGTTGCCGCCTCAGTGTCGACTTGGTTTGAAATTTAAATGTAGTAGTTTATGATTTAGGTCTGTACGACCTTTATTACCACCATGGGTTAAGTTAAGACCGACGAGAGCCAGGCCGGTACATAACTATTGTACAAATTTATTAGCACGAAAGTATCAGAATTCGTTTTATTAAGAATGATGCCTGTTCAAGTCTTAGTTTTGCAATGGCAGATGAATTTAAAAGGGGATATAAGGCAGTGACAGCTTCCGTGATTATTCTATTCCCTTCACTTTCTTATGAACTATTATCTTGCAGTTATGCTTAAAGTAAAGTGATTTTTTGATTTCGCATATTATACTATTTAAGTAAAACATATCATTACCGAAAGGGATTAGGTAACTCGATAATTCAATATTATAGCTAGTTTTAATTTTATAAGTAAAATATTATGGCAACAAGCGATTCTTTTCAGGAAAATTTGTACAGTAAAGAAGTATTTGCCAATAAAATTACTTGTTTTTTTTGTTGGTGGAAATCTAGTGTGAAATTATATCTTTAGTGGCTTAATATGTGTATGAAAACTATTTAAGCAAAGTCTATGTGCTGCTTGCATATGTTCTAATCCGCCTTATTGACAATATTTAATTTTTTAAAATTAATTATTTAGGACTTGAAAATAATAGAAATTGATTTTGTTTATGTGAAGAAAGTTTGGCTTGGGTGTGCAAGCCCGTCTCCCTCGAAAGCTGTTGAGGCAAGTCGTAATAAGGTAACTTTAGATGGATTTGGAGTTACTTATCATACGTTTATGATTCAAATGAAATTATTTGCACTATTTTATGTAGTGTTTTATTAAGTACATACTATTTATACTAATATGTTTTTTCTCTTAGTAGACATCCTTTTTATTTTTGTGATTTTTTAGTAATTAAATCTTTCATGAGTAGATTACTTTGTTGTTATGTTTTTGGGATTAATTGGTATTCTTTAATATTTTGTTTCTTTTATATGGGAGGGGTGTATATATTATTGGTTTTTTGTTTCGGTACATAGGCCAAATAATAATTTTATACCTACAGTAGACTACATGACTTTTTAATCGTAGTGATATTTGCTATACTTGTGTCAATTTTAATTTACAGTTCATTAGTTAGAGAATTGGATAAGTGGTAGTCCTAATCCTAAGGTCATTTTGAATGGGGAAATTGAATAGATGCATGTTGGTTGTGTGCACTGCAGAGATACGAGTGAACCGCCTTTGAGAGGTAGTGGGTAGAGTGTGTAGAGGTCAGGGGCATGGAATGAGACCAATTTTAACCAAGGAGAACGCAATCAGCCAATACAGATGCTTCACTAATACTTAGGAGTGATAAAATAGTGTGTGAAATGGATCGATTTTGGAGTGAGAATAGCCAAGTATTGTTGAAGTGGTGATCTGAGCTGTTTATTTCCTGCTATAGGGTGAAATAAACAAACTGTAGCTGCATAAATATCACTTGTGTGGGTTAGAGTGGGGATGTTGGTTGCAATTTAGAAGACACTGAGGGGGGAGGGGGGGGGGGGGGGTGGAAGATAGAAGGACGAGAAGGAAGCACTTATTACTTCGGTAGACACGTAACCAAAAAATTTGAATTACCACTGTGTGAATTATGTTTGTGCATATTGTCACTATTCCATTCGCACATGGCATTCATGAGGTAGAGTTAAGGAAGTGAAGTTATCTAGTTGGTTGGTTGGTTGGTTGGCTGGCTTGTTAACTAGCTAATTCTGGCCAGAGCCCTCGTTCGCCGTCAGTCTCCTGGTCACCACTGCGGGTCTCTTGCCTGCTCCTGTTGGTAGGAGTGAATTGAGAAGGCGTCGTGAATACAGGAGGCTGACGTTACCACCCAGGACCACGTGGAGGTGAGGGTTGGAGTTTCCTGGGTAAGGAGGCGCAGGCACTGCCCAGGTGAAGAAGTTGGGCACGCACTTGAAGCACGCTTGTGCCTACTCGTACCTCCACCCCCCACGCACAGCAAGCGCCCAATTGTTGCTGTGGTCTTATAGCCTCTACACTCCTATGACCACCATTGCCCACACATGACACCTAACTCATGCCTGTGTCCTAGCTTAGCGTAGAAGAGGGCGCTTAGAAGCCTCTATTCTCTTCTCTTGTAAGTCCATCCTAGTGGGTGCTAGTAGTACTACTATTAGAGTATAGGCCACCGAAAGGCTACCTATGAGTGGAAGATTGGTGGAGGAATGGGAATGATTGTGGCAGCAGGAAGAATGTGTGCTATTTGAGAGTGAAGCTGCTTAGGGGAAGGGGCTAGAGGAGCATAAGCATATAGCAGGAATATATATCTCTAATAATGACTAGAAAACATTGAAATGGAGATGAGGTAAATCGCAAACTATGGGGAAGATATGTATATGTATATATATGTATATATACGTGTGAATAAAATAGGTTACTAGAAGAGGGTGGAATATCTGGTAAATGAGCAGGAAAAAAGATGGTAAAATTGGGATATGTTTATATATATATATAAATATATATAAAAGCAAGACCCATGAGAATGCGTGAGTTACCTGAGGAAGAAATAAGCCAGAGTATGAATGGTTATTGTTGGGGTGTCCTTGGTGAGAGTTGGTCTCAATTGTGAGGATTTGAAATCCGATTCTCTAGTACCCTCTTGTACATGTTGGTGACATGGAAGGAAAAGTAGGAGCTAGCGTTGAAAGGTTAAAACTGGATAAGGAATAAATATGAGAGGAAGGATTTTTTGTCTTTTCATTTTTTTATAATTTTTTTGGTTTTTTGCGTAATTTTATAATTTTTTTGTTTTTTTTTTTAATATTTTATTAATCATTTTCTGGATTGAGAGTAAGGAGGAGGAGGAGACGGAGAGGAGGGTAGCCGAGAAGAGACCGAAAGATGAGATGAGAAGAGATGAGTTGAGTTGTTGAAGGTCACTTGGGTTTGCAGGTGCCTTTCCGTCGCAGACGTTTCTGCTTGTAAAGTGTGTCATCCCCCCGATTCCCTTTTCGCTCTTTCTCCAACTTACCTACCATCTCATTATAACGAGGAAAAAGTCTTAGAGACTTTTCGAACTCCTCGAGTGCTTGTTCAAGCCTACTCTGTGAGATTTTGCACTCCTCCATGATATCCTCGATAAAGGTTGGAGAGATTGCAAAAGTCTCCCCACAGAACTCTTCCAGTGACATCAACTTCTCCCCTTGTGTGTGGTCGGCGTCTCCGTAATCCACTTTCTTACCTTCTTCTCTATGAAGGTCATCTGGGTGTTCACCTTCCCCTCCTATTTCTCTCACGCTGCTGTCCTCCTCCTCCTCCTCCTCCTCCTCCTCCTCTTCTTCTTCTTCTTCTTCTATTGTGCTCAACTGGTCGCCTCGAAACCTCCTAAATTGCCTCTCTAACTTCTCTTGGTCTCTTCTCTCTCTCCTCCTCTGCTTCGCCTCTTCATACTCCTCACAGAGTCTTTCAAGCATCAGAAATTCCCTTAGACTAGATGAGCACTGGCTATCTTCATATTCGTGTTCATATTCTCTACTCTCAATCTCATATTCTACTTTCTTCTGCATAGCCTTCTGTTTTGCCTTCTCACTCGCGTTTTCCTGTTCTATTCTACTCTTTATCTCTTCCAAGTCTTCATACTCTTCACACAGCCTTTCGAGCATAAGGAATTCCCTCAAGCTAGAGGAGCATTCGCTA